TTGATGGGTAGAATTCCCTGGGCCATCTGTTTGTCCCCAGCAAAACCAGCAATGGTTGTACTGGTTGGGATTAACCTGGGATTCATTTTCCCTAATTTCTTCAAGGAAGATTTCGGTAGTAAGTTCACCGCTGCCCTATTATCCACTAAGACTTGGTTCAACTGTATCCCATCGAAGAAGGCCTTAATATACAAAGGCTTAACATGTCGTGTCATAGAATTCGAGGGATATTCAAAAAGATACGAGAGGTTAATACTTACCACTTCTTCACTCTCATATTCAATTTCCATTGAGGTAACCATTCCGGAATTATCTTGTACCATACTCACTTGTGAGTCTTCACTAGAGATTGGAATTGGGTCAATTTCTTGCCCCTCTTGATTCTCATCTCCAACTTGGAATTCATGCGGTAGTATGTGTACCATGTTCGCTGACACTGAGCCAAATTGGATGACTGGTTGTGTCTGCTTCTCCTTTTAGTCACCTTGTTCAGTCACTCCAAAAGCATCCTCCATGCTACTCTCTGGTACTTCATCCTTTAAATGGTCTATCACGACTGGTTTTTTAACCAGAAATGTTTGTTCAGCCATGAAGGCTTCGAACATTTCTTCCTTAACCATTTCTTTCTTTTGGCCTAAGCCAACTTCCGTCTCTGCCTCGCTGTCACTCTCCATCAATGCCTTCTCCAATCCCGCTAAACTGGACTTCTCTCTAGCTTTTAGTTCAGAGTAAACTTTGGCCAACTGTTCTCTGCTGCAACCCATTTTGCCTTGTAGAGTTGGTTTTGGAATATGGTCTGACTTTGGATTCTTCTTTCCTTCTGTCCGTATCAATGAAGAACTCTCTCCATTCTTTTTCAGGTCTCGCTGGTACTGAGTGTACTTACGCTGAATTTTTCTCGTTTGTGATCTAGAAATCACGGGGACCATATCTGGTTCCTTTGTTTTTGGGTGCTTAAGCAAGACCCAATTGTTTGGAGCCACCAAAGGAGGTTTGACCATCCTAATTTGGTTTCCAGCAAACTCTCTCTGGGTAGACATCTCCCTAGGTTTGTTCTGCATTACAAACCAGTCCAGGACCCCAGGTACCCACGAACCTACTGACCCTACCGTTGAACTACTTCTTTCTTCCTTCGAAACCTTCCTCGAAGCTAGCTACGAAGGCCACTGCTTGGTCCTGACTTCATGCTTTAGGCCTAACTCCAGCCTTCGATGAAGGTGTCCACTTTCTGCCTTGCGTGAGGCTGGTCTATGGGGCCAATCTCTGGTTTTGATCCCATAAACTGAACTTCTCTCCAATCTCCTCCCAGAATGACTGCTCTTCATTCTATAATAATTAGCTGGCCTGGATTCATGTAAAGGCTTCTTGCCTTTGAAATGCATCATGTCAACTATTGGTTCAACCCTCAATGGCTGCTGCCTGACACCAGATGGATATGGCCTTTTATTGTAAACATTGGTTGGTTTAGGACGTCTCTGCACATCCTTGTAGTATTATTTCCCATCAATCGGGAGTCCTTTCAACCATATGTAGCTTAGTCTACACCTAGGACACATCCTCTGCATTACAGTTACTTCTAAGGAATCGTCATCCAGTGCTTCTTCCTCAGAGTCTTCCCTCTGGTGTGAGAAACCTTGTCCAATAGTTGGTAGATTTCCAATGTCTTTCTTGATAGCTGTCTGGTTGGCCACATGCATCTGCACATTGACTTCTTCCAATTCTTTCAAAGGCAGGTTCTAAAAATCTGGCATAATGACATTGGCTGCCGCCTCTCCAATTTCTGGAAATGGATTACTGTCGATCCCTATGGCCTTTTCAACTTTGACTGGGAATTTCAAACTTTCTTTCCGAATTTGTTCTTGGATCCTGTCTCGAAAAATAACACAGTTTTTAATCGAGTGAGACCAAGAATTATGCCATTTACAATATACTTTCCCTTTAAGTTCATCAAGAGATGGAATTTTAACCCCTTTTGGTAACTTAAAGAAGTTTGCCGCAAGCAAATGATCAAAGATGTCATCTGCCTTAGTTAAATCGAAAGAGTATTTCCTGTGAAGATCTTTCTTTTAAACTACTGGTTAATTGTTGTATCCTTATAAATTAATGCTTCACAGATCACAGGTTCTTTCCCCACAATCTCTGCTGCATCAATCTCATAGTTAAGATCTTTGTAGTATGTCTTGTATGATGCATTATTTCGATCTTGCTTCTCTTCTAGTAATGCTTCATACCTAGATACTTTATAAGTCAGTTCCACTAAGTTCCTGAACTCTATTGAGTCAAACTTCTTTCGAAGCCTAAACTCTAAGCCATTTTGAGCCAATCTTACGAATTCTGGCTCTGGTAAAATGACTCTACATTTATTTCGAGCCCTTTTAAATCTAGTAATAAACTGAGTAGCCTTCTCTTCAGGCCTTTGACTCAACCTTGCCAAGTCTGCCATGGAAACCTCTAGCTCCGATTGGAAGAATTGGGCATGAAATGCCTCTTCCATTTGTTGCCAAGTTTGGATTGAGCCAGGTGTAAGGTTAATGTACCATACAAATGCTCCCCCAGTTAGAGAGTTTGGGAATAGTCTCAGCTTCATATAGTCATTATTAGTGAATTCACCGCATTGAGCAGCAAACCTAGCGATAATGCTCTACTGTTGACTGGTTTTCATTCCATAAAAAAGGGCGAAATCTGGTATCCTGAAATCTCTGGGTATTCATGTACCCTATCTACCCATTCTGGGTATGGTTTTCTGTATACAGGAGTCTGACCCCGAGCCATTGGTCACACATCTCCCTAACGATGTCAGCATTTTGGTCCCTAGGGACCGTATTTTGTGCCTGCTGAACCACCGCTGGGAAACAAACACAGGATTTGGTGGACAAACTTGTGCTTGTGGTCCTCTTGGTCCATAAGGTGGCATGTTTGGGATTGGTTGTCCCTGTGGTACAGGTTGCTGTTGAGGGTGTGGGTAACCCCTTTCAATTTGTCCTACAAAAAGACCTGCGAAAAGTGCTGGAACTGGTGTTGTATCTCTTCCATTTGTAGGAAAACCTTCCAACCCCTCGAGTAAAAATTTGAATAAGGGATTAGTGAACCCCCTTGTGCCAAGTATGGCTTCAAACATGGGATTTGGAAACATTCTTACACCATTTTCTTGTACTGGGCTAGTTCCACCAAATTGCATGGCTTCACTGTTAAGTACTGAAACATTTTGACCTACTACAGGCCTTGGAACAGGTTCGTACCAAGACTGAGGTGATGGTCTTTCATAGTTCTGATTACTAGTTTGACCATTAGAATGTCCGTTAACTTGCATAGGCTGTTTATCTCTAGCCAATCTTTGCTGATGGACATTCGAAATTTCCTCTATATGTCTTACATTTGTTAGTTGGTGGTTATTCATTCGATCCAAAAAGGATGTTGCCCACCTTTCCATTGTGTTCATTAATTGCTGTTCCATTGCATCTTTTAAGCCACCCCATGAATTCATTGGCTGAGTAAATGGGACAATGGATGGTCCAATTCCTTGGTCTCGTCCAATATTACGAACATATGGTATTTGTTCTGAAGTACTGGTCTGTTCGACCATAGGTTCTGATAAAATGAGAGTTTTCACAGGATGTGTTATCACATTATCCTCTGAATTAGGTATCTCTACCTCTCCTTCCACGCCTTCTTCCAAGCGTTCATTTTCTCCTTGTCTCCTACGTCTAGCCATTTCAACTTTGTCCCACTGGGCGTGCCAAAAATATATGTTGGCTTTTTGGCTTTCGAAGGTTATTATTGTAATTGCAAGCGTGCCGGCAAGGATCAATCAGTCCTTACAGAAATTTAATTGCCAACCAATTATCAGACGATTGTGTTTTAGTTCTCTCAGCCTCAATGAAGAGGACTTTTACCGGTGGCTTGATTTAGGAGAATTAAACAAAATATCAATCAAATAAAGAACAACTGAAGCATTTCATTAGAATGAAAAAACTTACAATGATTCAAACTCAGCCTCGTAGAAGTTTACAGTGACAATCTACTTGAAACTACTCCTATGAATGAAGTGCAGTGCAGAATTTAAATTACTGGAATGTAAAGAACAGGACATGTAAAACTAAGTAAAGTTGAATAAGACTGGTTTTTTGGATCTGAGTCCGGGGGCTTTTTCTAGGGCCTTCTCTGCTATTTACATTGCTTAAAGATGACCATCGAACTGTATTTCCAGCTATCGAACTGCTCCTCCATGATCGCTGATCATGTTGCCTCAAGATTAGCTCCATTACGCCATCACTTGCAGTTAGGTTTCCCTCCTGAATTTGAATTCAAATGTGAGTAACCGATGATGCCACATCACTTTGTATCTCTCTGCTGATCCACTGCTACTCAGATCTCGTAACAACCAATATTAACTTACACGTGTACGATCAAGATCGAAGATTTGAATAGTCTTTCCGTACTACCCTTACTTTGGCACGCGTCAAATTATATTTGGCTTGTACAAAATATGTAACCAACAATTATATAAATTATAAATATCAAAAATATCTTAAATTATGTTACATCATTAATTAATATACTAATTATTACATACAACATTAATCTTAGGTAAAACCCATTTCTTCATAATCCAATCCCATCATCTAACGGGATAACAAACCTGTCTTAAGGCTAAGTTTGGAAAGACTAAATAAATGTATTTTTTGACTTTTTATGAAATATGGGTTGGATTTGAGTTGGGTTTGAAGTGATGTGTTAGAGAAGTGATGTGATTTAAATAAGATGATGTGACTTAAATAGGATAGTAACTTTTTGACTTTTTAAATTTTTTAGAGGATGCCAAACTTGACCTAAATGTAAAAGCATACAAATAATGACACTCAATAAATATAATTTTTATTTGAATTATTTCTTGGGGAACGATTCTAAAATGGGCCCACCTGAGTTCATAATGGAATATATTGTTTTGGCTTTCCCAAACAGCCCTTCTTTCCTTTCTCTTTTTCGTTTTCACAAAATCCAAACAGACCTCATCATAGCAAAAAAGAAAGGAAGATTCTTTTTTTTGGGGGGAGGGGGTCAGTTTTTAGAACGACTTTAAACAGTAAATTGGGGCATCGTTGACGGAACACAAAGACTCCGATCGTCGTTGTCGCTGGCTCTAAAAGTAGTCCACCAATACTATCATGACTTGTAAGACCCACCAACCATCTATATATATGTGTGTATGTATGTATGCTAAAAGGGTTTATTGTTGTTGAATTTGTAAATTTGAATTGAAGGGCAGTTTGGAAGAAGGCTATGGGAGAGGGAGAGGGAGAGGGAAAGGGAGATGAAGGTCAAGATCATCAGACCCCTTTGGTTGATTCTTCCATCGACAGAACTGGTTTGTCTTTCTTTCACTTCCCTTGTTTTTTTTTTTTTTTTTTTCCTGACAGTAACCATGAATTTTGTATTTGGTGATCTGATAAACCCATGATTTTTTATCCACAAGAATTTCCAAGAAAGTATATAATTTAAGTGTTTAATGCCCAAAAGTCAAAATTTTCCACTCCCACTTTTTTACACACCATCATCAATTCTCCAGCCCAATATATATATATATATATATATAATTTTTGGGAAAGTGTAAGGAATATCCAAGTACCACTAGGAATTATCCCATTTTTATCTTTCTTCAGTTTTTGGTGTTTAAAAAACTGAAAAAAAGAAAGTATACAATTAAGTATTAATGCCCAAAATTCCGCTCTCACTTTCTTTTTGTTTTGTTTTGAAAACTTTCTTTTTCCCAAAATAAATTGCCCCAAATCTAACTAGCCAGCCGTAAATTTATGTGCAAATATCGAGGTACAGGAAAATTGGACATGAATCATGATCCTGTGACTTGAAATGCATTGGAATAAAAATAATTGGGAACTTCAAAAAAAAAAAAAATTTCTCAAAATTTAACATTGTAACAAATTAAACTAGTATTTTTAATTTTTTTCAATTTGAACTTTAGACTTTTAAAACGTTATCAATTATCAATTTTAACCATCTGACTGTGTCTGTTAACTTGTATAATGGAAGAAGACAATCTTGACATTTCTTCTTGGTTCACATATGTATGTGTTATGTATTTTGGTACTTAGATTGGTATATATTGACATTATTCTGTGCCTTGAAATGCATTGAAAGAAAGAAATTTAAGAACAGAGTATCCATGCCTGCCACAATTATAAGGGGCAGTGGTGCGCATACAACCGTCAGATGGGAATTGTTATATATACACATATATGGATTATGTATTTTGGTACTTAGATTGGTATGTATTGATTATATGATGATGAAGGGAACATATGGACCGGTGTGGCGCACATAATAACGGGAGTGATAGGATCAGGGGTACTATCACTAGCATGGAGCATGTCTCAGTTGGGGTGGATTGCAGGCCCATTGGCTATGCTGCTCTTTGCATCAGTAACCTTTGTTTCTGCCTTCTCTCTCTGCCACTGTTACAGATCACCCGATCCAGATTGCGGGCCCAAGAGAAATCCCTCCTACCTGGAAGCTGTTCGGACGATTTTAGGTGAGAGTTCTAAGTTAGTTAAAATAAACGATCATCACATCATATCCCTTTTTAAGGAAAACAATTCTCTTGATATTCCATTTTTCCGCAACAACTCAGATCTTTATTTTATAGAATTGCATTGAAACTATCTTTGTCTTCTTTATTTGTGGATTAATGCTATACAAAAATAAAAATTATGCAGTATTTTTGTTTATACAAATTGATTGATGTAGTTGAACTGAGACTCTGCTCATTTCAAAATAAAACAATCATTAAGTTGACTCTTAATTTCAAAAATGTCGGGTTCGTTTGGTTTGTATCTCTGAAAAAATTTTGAGAAATTTTCTCTACAAATAAATTTTTAAAAGTAATCAAACCAAATAAATTTTTTCAAAAAAATTTCTCAAAACTTGTAAACTAAACAAGTTTTCCAAACAAATCTCTCTCTCACACACATCAAATCAATCACTTTTTTCAAAACTCTCTCTCAAAATAATTTTCCAAAACATCTTTTGAAAAAAACCAAACCAAACAACTTTTCGTACTTTTTATCTCTAAAACACATCTCTCAAACACAAACCAAACATACCCGTCGTATCGCCACATCATTCTGTATGCACATTTTTTGTATATAGAATAGACATTTATTTTTGCTGAGAATGAAGTGTTAACATTCTTATGTTAGTTTTGCTTGGAGTTTGTCACAACATTCTTAGTTAGAATTCCACACCACTATGTAATTCTCACATAAATTTTCCTAAATTAAGAAATGTTTGGTAATATACCAATTTCAAGCGATTCTGATGCATGTCAAAGGTAGCCCATGATCATATGCGTTATTGTGAATGGCTTCATTCAAAATATGATTGGCAGCACAGAAAATTGTTTGACTTATGTAGCCTTTTCCTTCATAAATTACATCACTGTTGATTATATAAAAAACAAATAATAAAAAACCTTCTGATGCCATCAACACCCCACCCTGGAGGAATTTTTCTTCTAATTTAAGGAGCAAAAGCAGACATTTTTCCCAAAAGAAATTGTGTGATAATAACGTGTAGTCATTTTGAACATGATTAAACCTGAGGGGACAGTCATTTTGATGAATTGTTTCTTGTTATTATCATGCATGTATATAGTTATGACAGTTAACACTGGTTGAAATTTCAGGAAAGAGGAGCGCAGCAGTGTGTAGTGTCTTTCTAAGATTAAATTTTTTGAAGGTGGGCGTTGTATATACGATTACGTCTGCTATCAGCATGAGGTGCTTAATTACTTTCCCCCGTTCCCTTAAGTTTAGATGCTTTCTTCTTCTTGCAATATTGCTACCTATCATATGGTGAATTTTGCTGTGAATATGCAAATTAGATGTAATTGGAATCTACGATTCCTTGTCATATGAATGTGATTTGGCATATTAATCAATAAAAATTGAAAGATGAGTAGAACTTGGCTATGAAGCACAAACACCTCTTCATAGATCACGTACATGTGTGTGACATGTGTTGGACATGGATGCACTCTGGACGAAGTGACACGCGATGGACACGTTGGGTACACACATGCCCAAGGTTGATGAATTTGATGAAAATAAATATTTGATATAGAATAAATATATAATAATTATATATATGGCAATATATGTTTTGCATGTGTGTCATGTCTTGCAATTTTTTAAAATGTATGTGTCCGTGTGTCTGTGTTGTGTCCTTACCGTGTCACTTGTCTGCCCTTCTGAGGAACTTAGGATGTCTCTTGTCACTATCATATTATCACCATAAGTTAAGAGTCCATTGACATGATTGTGTTATGAAAGGAATGCTACAATGTAATTTTCTGAATCTAGAAACACTTGGGTTTTGTAAGTAACATCCTCAGTTAAATCCACGGAACCATAGCAATGCTTTCTCTTTGATGAATATTTTCTTAACTTTGATCATTCTGTTCTTGTAATGGCTGCAGAGCAATTCAGAAATCAAACTGTTACCACAAAGAAGGGCACAAAGCTGCTTGTGAATATGGAAGCACTTCTAATTATATGCTTTTGTTTGGAATTGTTCAAGCATTAATGTCTCAGATACCCAATTTCCGTAATACAGAATGGCTCTCAATTGTCGCTGCAGCCATGTCCTTCTCTTATGCTTCCATTGGATCGGTACTTGGCCTAGCAAAAGTAATCGGTATTGTCAAGAATATGCTGTGTCATTACGTCATTTTAGTAGTTTACTTTGTTTGGTTTCATTTTCAATCTATTTTTTGAAAACACTAAAAACTAGTTTGGTGAAAAAATAATGAAAATTTTAAAAACACTCATCATCATGTCATTGTAGTTGGCATGGTTGCTGAAATACCCCAAGCCTTTTTCTTTCAGAAATACCTCCATTTCTTATTTCAGAAAGGACTAGAAAGAGAAGATTTCATGGAGGACTTACTGTTCCATTTCTTGAAATGGTTTTCTTTTTCAGACCTCTTTGCTAACTATGTCTCAATCGCTGCCAGAATTCTTTCCATTTGGCAATCACAATCCTTCCAACAACTCTGCTTTTCTCCCTCCTCATAGATTTCGTGAACTTGCTTAAACAGGTCATCTCAACCTCCAAAACGGTGGAAAAGAAAATTCTGGATAACTACTCTCTTGGGTTTCGTTTTCAGAATTTGTTTTCTGAAAACACGAAAAACTAATTTGGTAATGAAAAAATAGAAAGTACTCATAATTTTTTTTTTGGGGTTGCGTGCATAAGTAGTTATTGAAAATTCAAAGATATCTTTCTGGTGTTTATTTTCAGCAAACTAGTTTTTTAGTATTTTTCAGAAAACAGATTCTGAAAATGAAATCAAACCAAGATGCTCAAGAATGTAAAATTGCAGGAGATGGAAGCATAAAGGGTAGCATTGGAGGTGTACCGGCTTCTACTACTACTAAAAAAGTATGGTTAGTGGCTCAAGCACTTGGGGACATTGCTTTTGCCTTTCCATTCTCCGTCATTCTGATTGAGATACAGGTGCAGCGTATTTTTGTTTTCGTGTAAACACACATTTCACTTTATAAGAACCTTAAATCTCAATCATCATTCATTTAGTTAAACAGTGGAATTTGTGAAAAATGAAGGACACTTTGAAGTCACCACCGCCAGAAAAGGTGACGATGAAGAAGGCATCAACCGCTGCAATCAGTATTACGACATTTTTCTACCTCTGCTGTGCCGGGTTTGGCTATGCGGCATTTGGGAATTCTACCCCTGGGAACCTCTTGACAGGATTTGGATTCTACGAGCCATATTGGCTCATTGACTTTGCTAATGCATGCATCATTCTTCATTTAGTTGGAGGATATCAGGTACTGCTGCTTCTACTACTAATAAGTACAAATTACACTCACCTCTCTTGAGGTTTGGAAAAAATACTACTAGCCCCACACTTTTGACGTAATTACACTGACTACTCCAGTCTAGCCTATTTGTTGATATGAAAAATATCCATGTTTTTTATGTTTTCGTACATTTGAAGTGGAAGTGATTTGTTTTGTTTCTTTCACATATCGTTTACGTTGCCAGGTATTCAGTCAACCCTTATTTGCTGATTTGGAAGGATTGATTGCTGAGAAATTCCCCAACAGCAGATTTATAAACAAAAACTACATTTTGAAAGTCCCACCATTGCATGCATTTAGATTAAATCTTCTCAGGCTGTGTTTTCGAACCACTTATGTTGCATTAACCACCGGACTTGCAATGCTCTTCCCTTACTTCAACCAAGTCGTTGGAGTGGCAGGGTCATTGAACTTTTGGCCATTGGTTGTATTTTTCCCAACGCAAATGTACATCGTGCAGAAGAATATTGGACCTTGGACAAGAAAATGGATCGGGGTTCGCATTTTTACCCTTGTTTGCTTGTGTGTGACATTGTTTGCCTTGGTTGGATCACTTGAAGGACTGATAACAGCAAAGTTTGGCTAACGTATGTATTGTTTTTCTCTCTTCTTGAATGGAAGAGTATAAGATATCTTTGTAATTGTATGATATGTAATAGTTTGTCCAATTGATTCAGCCAACTAAGAAGGTTACTGGGGTGTTTAGTGTGGATTATAGAGGGTGATTATAACTTATTTTAATTTGAGAATTTGTGTCAGACTGTTTGGTACAGCTTCTATTTACAACTTTTCAGGCAGAAATAGTTTAAATAAGTCAGGAAAAATTGATTATTTAAAAACTGTGAAAGGGATGCTTTTGATTTTAACTTTCTGATTATCAACTTTTAGCTTACAATAAGTTGCACAAAACACCCCATTATAATGCACAATGATTTCTATATCATCAGGTGTCTCAAACTTCTAATTGAAGTGTTAATAAGTTGCTTTCACATTTTTTCTTTTTTGAACTCTCTTTTTTCTTTTCTTTTCTTTTTGCTCTTTCTTTCTGTTGGATGTATTGGTACCAATATCATTGCACAAGGTTATAAGAAGTTGAAGCATTTATACATATTATTAGAACCCCGATTTAGATCTTATGATCCTCCAATCTTATGATTTATTTGGATACAATTCGATCCAGATCATGTAAAAAATTCTTTATAGATAGGATTTTCGATCCTCCAATCCTCGTAATGGGATCTGTAGAGAAGTAGTTTGGAAATACTCTTCTGATCCTGGGGGACGCTTGTGATCCTTAGCTAGCCACCTGAAAATGAATTAACACTCCGGTCGGGGGTGCCGGAATTAGCACTCCGACGGGCATGTCAGTCTCTACTCTTTGAATTACTTGTATTTTAAGTTAAGTGTAATGGTTCTCACATCCCTTTCTTCGACTGTTGTTCCTTTATTTATACTCGTTTCCCGAGCCTCGGGGCCTGGTCCACTTTTCGCTCACTATCCGCTTATTTATTCGGCCCCATAGTTCAATAGTTACTCGGCCTATTTATTGTATTCAGCCTCTTGATTACGCAGGTTAGAGCCGAGTAATGTCTATCTTCTAAAGCATACACTTCTGATTCTGCTATTTATTCGGCTCCCACAATTGCCCCCTAAACTCCCCATTGATGGCAATTAATTGGTGTGTTTGGTTTCGAATTTGAAAAGTCAAGAAAAACATAAGTTAGGCGGCTTCACCTATCCCAATGTGAATGTCATAACGCACATGCCTTTCGATCATCATTATACGTTCCCGCCTCATTCGTACATCTTTTGCATTTATTATGATTTGAAACTCCAGTCTCTTCGAATGTATGCTTTTTTGAATATTTGAGCCTCCTGGATTGCCAGCCGGTATCTCTCTATCTCGCGTTTTCTGTAACTTCTTTCCGTCTCTCCTTAACTCCTTTACCTTTCGTAAGTTTTCTTCTCTTCTCTTTGTAATCCTATTTTCCATGTTCATTTTTTATTTAGAATACCCTTGAGTCCTTACTAGAATGGCTAAGCATTTGAAAGACCTCCTTTTCGAATGTCGTATTTCTGGGTTTCGACGACATTTTTCTATCCCTGATGATGTCCATCTATCTCTAGTAACAGACAATACTCTCGATATGGAGAGGGATGACCAAAATACAATCGTCTTTCCTCTCCTGTCCATTATGGAGAGTGGAGTTCGTTTTTCCCTTCACCCATTTCTTAGGGCCGTCCTCCGCCATTGGGGTCTGATTCCTTCCCAACCCAATGTGATTTTTTTTTTGAATCATAATGGGAATCGTAGAGTTGAACCGGCACCTTAGATCATCCTTGGCATTCCAGCGATTCGGCACTACTATGCTTTAGCCAAATCCTCCAGTCGGCTCGGGCGCTACTTTCTCAGGGCCAAGGACACTGACCATCACTTGGTAACCTGCTTGCCAGCTCTAGCAAACGAGTTGACGATGTAATGGTCAATGTCCGAGGCAACTGGGAATTCGGCGAAGGCGAAGATCACCTAGACCCTATTCCCAGACGGAGGGGTGAACTAGGTTGCCGCGTAACTCCTTGTGTTTATTGATCTTTCTTTTATTCGGCTTTTTCTCCAAGTCTAATCCTTTATTTATGCAGCCAATAAATTGAAGAAGATTCTGACTTCGGCTGACGACGCAGTCCTTGCGAAAATTAAGACTGCACTCAAGTATTTTGGTCGTCCAAACGTACAGAAGCAAGGGAGAGCCACCCATATATTCCTGCGGTACGAGCTTACTTATACTACGTTCTCGGCCGCGGACGGCATTCCGATCCCATCTGGCGAACAACACCTTACGGCTCTTATCTTTCCCAGCTTCAAGACCCTTAGGCAAATTGGATTCGAAGCTTCTGATTCGGAGCAAGATGTAGAGACGGTGGTCGAGGTAATTGTCGAACCAACGAGAGAGTTCGCTGCGGAGGCCGAAGAGGTCGACGAGGCTCTAAACTCAGCGTTTGAGGTAGCCGGTCTTAACCAGCCTAACTCACCGTCCACTTCGGGTCGGGCAGAGTTTTCCTTCAGAGATATTTTTACTAGTTTGGCAAATCTTCTCGGCTCCTATTCCGAGAGTATGGCAAAGGAATCTCTTTCTCAACTGGCACAAAAAAAGAACGCTGAGCGTTTGGCCGCCCGTCAGAAAGCCGAGGCCATTAGTTCCAAACCTGCCATCCCTGAATCATCCGAGCCGGTTGTCGTGGTTGAAACGGCTCAAATTGTTTCTGTCGAGACGGAACGGTCAGTTGGGCGTTTGACTCCAGAGGCCGATAAGGGGAGGGAGAAGCAACCTGCCGATTTCGAGGCCGTCTCCAAAGAAAACCCAGTAGAAAAACGGCCGCGCTTAGAGGAGTCGAATGTGGTTGTTCTTTTTGTGGTTCAGCTGAAGATAAAAGACGTGCCGATCTCCTCGGACACATCGGCTGTGAAAGACCCAGCTGTGGCATTGAGCCTGGCTTCGTCGGTCTCATTGCCAGTCGACAAGGCGGCTTTTCGCTCGAAGCCGAACATGTTAGTAATTGCATTGGCCGCTCAAACAGCTCTTCTGGTATATAGCTTGATCTTGTCTTTTGCGTTTCTGCGTATATTTGTTTTTGGTTTTAAGTTTCCGTTTTACAGACAGTCAGAAGGATAGCCGAGATAGGGCGCCGCCAGCACGATGCCGTCGAAGAAATCGGCCGTTTAAGATCGGAGGTGGAGGGCGAAAGGAGTAGGGCCAACTTCGAAGCGGCGAGGGTGATGATGGAGAGTGCAAGGGCGGAGGCCGAGATGGAAAGAGCGAAAAATACTGAAGAGCAGAGATTGGTCGCCGAGCAGAGGGAAAGCGCGAGCAAGGAATCGTTCAAGTTAGCCAAGGAAGCGCTTGCCAAGGTGAAGGCCGAGTTTGAAGAATTGAAGAAGGCCAAGGAAAAAGCCGACTCTGAGGCTTCTGCAGCGTTCGAGGCTGGAAAGGGCACCGCCCTTGAAAACTACGCAGAAGAAGTCCCCAAATTCGAGAATCGGAAATTCAAACACGGGTGGCTCAAAGCCTGCTGCCGCTGGAGTTACATTGGCCATGCCAATTCCATACGAGCAAGTGGACGTTGAGCCGCTTGAGTCTGATCCTGATGCTTGATTTGGGAGACATTTTAGTTTTATTAGGTATTTTCTATTTCAATGTATGTTCTTTGTTAGTTGATTTTCATCTTTTTTGGATTTTCATGTGTAAAATGTCCGCTGTTAGCGCCCAATTTATGAATGAAAATTTTCTATGCTCTCAAGTTATTGCTTGTATTGTTTGTTATATGAGTACGTAATTAAAAGAATTAGCAATTAGAACAAAATGTCATGACTACGTGAGGTGGCAAACTTAGGGCTGGTTTGGGGTGTCCTAAAAAAGTGTACTTTTTGTCTTTTTGGACTAAAAAAGACAAAAAAAAAATATGGAGGTTTGGGTTAACTTTTTGACTTTTTATGAAAAAATGTGTATTAAAAAATTGTATAAAAAAAGTGTGTAAGAGATGATAAGAGAGGAGTGGGCCCCAGCCATACAACCGGTTGTACAACCGGCAGACTCAATTGGAGTTGGAAATTATTGGCTAATTTTTGTACAAAGCATTGGACGGTTTTGTTTGGCCCGTGGGGGTCATCACGGGTCCCATTTTAATAATCTGAACCGTTCAATGTGTGTAACTCGTCGAACACTATGTACCTATAAAAAATCACGTTAATCGGATATCAATAGCTATCTGATCAGATCTATTTATTTTTCAATCATTAATTATAGCACCATCCATTTGTTGTACATAACTGATTTGATCATATAGTTATCGATATCCGATCAATGTGATTTTTTGCAGACATATAGTACTCGACGATTTCTACACATTGAACGGTTCAGATTATCAAAACGGGACCCGTGATGACCCCCATAGGACAAACAACGGTGTGTGTAAAAACCACACCCAATCATTTCTTTTTTCTCCACTGCCGCACACAGCAGCTGCACACACATCAATTCGGTGTGTACTTTTTTTTTAAGAAAATTGATTTTTTAAATTTTTTTTTTGGTGAATAGTGATATCTTTTTGGATTTTGGAGTAACTTTTTGACTTTTTAGCTTATTTAGGATAAGCCAAACCAGCCCTTAATACCCAATTAAATTAATGAATTTGATTTATGATTGAATAAAAATGAATTCATGAGGTGCCGATAGGTCAACACATAAGGCAGCTAGGGTACATAAGCTGATTAGCTTAACGCCGAATAATATGAACTTATGAATCTGCCCTTGCCCCAGCTGGTTCATGAACATAGAACGCCGAATAACATGAACTTATGAATATTGTACTGATGAATTGATTCGTGGAGCGGCTGGAGCACTCAAGCCGACTAGATTGATGAATTTGCCCTTGCCCCAGCTGATGTATGAACTTCGAAAGTCGAATATGACTAGTTCATGGAGTGGCTGCGGCACAAATCGATCGGCATTGGGCTTAGGTATTTGGTCGATCAGATTAATAAATCTGCCTTTGCCCCAGCCAATGGATGAACTCCGAAAGCCGAATAGGACTAGTTCATGGAGTGGCTGCGGCACTCAAGCCGACTAGATTGATGAAGCTGTCTTTGTCCCAGCTTTTTTATGAACTGAAAAGCCGAAAAACAAAGGTTCATGGGCGATTGGGGCACATGACTCAATCAGCGCCGGGCAGTTGAGGTTTTAATATTAATGAGATTGTCTCGGAGGTGCTGCCCTCGTAGGGAATAAATGGGCGTGTACCTCGTGAACAAAGGTCCTATTTATATGCTCAATC